TAATTTTTCTCTTCTAGAATCATTATAATCCACGACCTACCTGTCAGGCATAAGTAGCCCTTGGGAACCTGTTTGTATACCAGTGTGCCGAGCCCCACTGACCAGTGGCAACTCCTCAGAGTCCTCCCGCATTTGAAGACAGGGTGGTTCAGCTGGGCTTAGAATCATATATATGAGATAAATGTGTATGTATATCACCTGGGGGTGCATGTGCTCTCAAGAGAGAGAGAGAAATAGCAGGGAGAGAGAGAGAGAGAGTCCCCCGGTGGGAGGTGGTCATGCCACAATCCTTTTCACCTCCATCATGTCGGGATTTCACGCTCACAGGGTGTTTTTCAAGCACACTGGGGCCAAGATTCATTGGTCATGTGGGCTCTGGCTCCCAATGCACAGTGCTCAGTTACTGTGTTATGGAATCTGCCCATACAACTATATCTTTATATCAGTTATCCCCACATTATACAAACATTCCGGTTATACTTTTCAGGATGTTATTAAATATTAACTAACTTAAGAAACTCATATTTCACAGGATCTTTTTAAAACAATCTGAATTTTCTTAAATAACATTTTTTACCAGTTTAAATATTTTCCCAGCTTCATTAAGGTATAATTGACAAATACAAATGGCATATATTTTAATGTACAATGTGATACATGTATAAACTGTGAATTGATTCATTCAAATTCATTAACTTAATACCCATTATACTACCTATACCTATGCTTTTTTGTGGTGAATGCACTTAAATCTAACATGTAATAATTCTGAAGTATAAAATACATTATCATCACCATGCTTTACATTATACCTCCAGAAATTATTCATCTTATCTAATGGAATCCAAAAAACTTTGGACCTTTAATCAGTATGTTTCCCATTTTCCCACACACACACGCACACCGACCAGCCTCCAGCCCCTGCCTGGTAACCACTTTCCTACTTTCTGTGTCTATGAGTTTGACTTTTTTAGATTTTACCTATATGTGAGACCATGGGGTATTTATTTTTGTGCCTGCCTGATTTCACTCAGCATAACATCTCCTAGGTTCTCCATGTGGTTGAAAATGACAGCGGATTAGTATTCTACCACACACACGGCATAACCACACCTTCTCCACTCTTCCTTCCATTGATGGATGCTTAGATTGATCCCACATCTTGCCTGTTGTGAGTGATAGATAAGCAAATCTAATCACAAAATCAAAAGTAGAGCTGACTACTTGGACCCAAGGTGATTCTTTTCTAAAAATAAATTATGATACTTATAAATGTGTATATATGCAGCTGTATTCATGTATAGTATATACATAGTACATATGTGTGTATGTGTATATACTCTACTGGTTAAAGAAACACTTGCTAATGTTTTCCTCAAACGAAGCTGTTTTGTTTCTTCTATGTGCATATTCCAGATTAGTGAAAACATTCGGAGTACGGCCATTCCACACTTCGGTGAATTACTGAAACATACGATTCGGATGGGACCAGCAGCTGGTATAATGGCTATGTCGAACTCCATGTAGTCGACTGCGATTTGAGTCCTGAACCCGGTGGCTTAAACTCACACTGGACACGCGTGCATGCCTGCCCAAGATCTCTACAGCAGAATGGAGGTGAAGGGATTGCAGTGTGGCCATCCTCCCTGGGGGGTGATTTTTCGCTTTCTGTCTCTGTCTGTCTTTCTGGAGAGTGCAGGTGCCCTGTAGCAAAAACCTCTTAAAAAAAAAAAAAAAGATATGATTTGGTACAAATGGATGCTGAGACATATGATCCTAAGAGGCTTGGCGCCCCTAATCCTGTTTTTGGAGGAATCTGAGATAAGAGTAGTTAAAATAAGTCCTTGGTCTTATTCTTTTAGATTTTGCCCAGAATCACAGTGTTTTATGTAATAGCAGATCCTGCTCTTTGTCCTTTCTTTTATTTACTTATTTCTGGCATGAGAGATAGACAGAAAGACCAGGTCCTTGACAGGGTCTCACCATGCCAAGATCCCGCCCCCTACCCAAACCTTCCAGCCAGCCAGGATCCAGTGGGCTTGAGGCATTCAGGCTGACTAAGGATTTGAA